CACATTTTTGCATGTTTGGCACGTGGCTGTGCATCTTCAACAGGTCTTCCAGCAGGTGTACCCAACCAACTGCCTGCCTATCATATCCCAGCATAAATATACAGCCTGATACCATAACATTTTCTTACAACAAGAGTACAGCAAAAATGCACTTAGCCTGTTCAATTTTACAGCTAGAAGAACTGCACCAATTGGTCTCGTGGAATAACTGGTGACACCATTTTTAGAAAGATTTCTGTTATTTTGAGTGTTTTAAAATAAATTCCTTCTCAAGGAAGGAAAACAAACTAAAATCAAGCAAGACAGAAATCTTTCATCTATTGCTTCCCAAAGTCATTTTCCCCACTCTTCCTTCACTTAGTTTTAGTGCTGATTATTTGCATTCTTCAAAGGATGTTAGTTACAAAGAATAACTAAACAAAAGTAAAGAAAAGAAGTAAGGTATTCATTAATCTCTCCAGAACAATACTTTTAAAAAAAATCCAACTGCATAGACAGATCTTTCTTCTTATTACTTCCTTATTTAATTCCTAATTTACTTCTTAATTAAGAAATAACGAATAGCAGGAAATAAGAAAGATGAATGAGAAACAGTAGGCATTAACCTAAATGTTTTTATATGAACAAAATCACATTCCTATAGTACGTAAGGACACAGAAAACCAGGTCCTTCAGATATATAATGCTAAATAATATATTTTAGCTACCAGAAAAAATGGACAGAGTTAAGACACTCACTCCAAGGTGCATTTACAGAACTACAAGAATTAATGACTTCTCTTACAATAATTCAGTTATAGAGACGACATAATGTTAGTCAAGTAATTTCCAGGAAAGACAGGCTTTTTTTCTCCTTACTTGGTAGAAGTTTTATGATCTGTTTCATTTCTTCCTCAAATCCAACCTCTAAGATTCGATCTGCCTCGTCAATCACCAAACACTGCAAGTTCTTGTACATGAAACCTGGAGTGTTCTAAAAGAATAACAAACTAAAAGTCAGATAGGGACGAGAGTTTTATTACCTTCTATGAAAGTAAGAGGCATTGTTATTTTTGTATACCTGCATATGATCCAGAAGTCTTCCTGGTGTTGCTACAATTATATTGATTCCATTTCCAAGTTTCTGAGCTTCTGCTGATCTGTTACTGCCCCCCATGATCAGACCATAGGTGTGAACATGATGATTCATAAGTTCTTTAAGAACTCCATAGGTTTGCATGGCAAGCTCTCGAGTAGGTGAAAGAATAATAACACCTGTCCCTAAAACACACATCAATTCACTCAGGTTAAGTTCCACTTCCTCCAGTCCCTTTCACAGTCACATCCTTTAACATCTGGGTTACTACAAAATGAAGGAGATGCTTACCATTTCTAGGCATGAATTTTAACTTGTAGATGAGCTCCACTGCAGGAATGAGAAATGCAAGTGTTTTGCCACTGCCTGTTTTAGCAGCTGCTAAAATATCCCTGCAAAAGGCAAAATTAGAAGAAGTGTTAAGGACACCTCACAGAGAAAAAATAAATCCTATTCTGAATGATATTGACTATGTGAAAATGTAACATGGTTTTAATCTAACTAAAATTAAGCGTCCCGGGACAGATACGGTTCACAGCTTGGTCTCTTATTTCTATGAAACACACTGATACAAGAGACTAATGAAAACAGATTCTACTGCTTTCAAAGCCAAGTGCAAAGCAATTTCCATTAACTTACTGTAATAACTGGAAAGATCAACACGATTAAAAGGTGATACAAAAGGTGTAATGACACAGGGACTAATGCAATACAAAGATATCATAAGGAAAGGAAAAAGAATTGCTCACCATTTCCAAAGACCTAGGCTCACAGTGGAAAACTTCACCAAGGAGAGATCTCCAGAAGGAGATCCTTCCCCTGTGGCAGTCAGCCCTTAAATGAGGTCTAAGAGAGGTGCAGCCAGGCTCCACCCCTTCCAGCCTCACACATCAATTGCCTTCACCTGTGCTCCCAGGGCTGACCAGGTCCTTTCCCCAGGTGCTCAATCAGTGGTTCAGGCCGTGACTCAACAGTTCCCATACAACTTACCTTAAGTATTTGTTCACACGTAACACATACACCTCATTAATTTGTATTTACAACTACAAATGAAATATTTAAATTACAAAACAATGTTTCGAAAAGAGCGTAGCTCCAAGAAGTCATGTTTCTTCTACCTAATTTGTTACCATCATTTACACAACATTTGAGGTCACTGTGGCAACTAAAAAGATATATTTCTTACCTGCCTTCCAGAAGAGGTTTAATACTTTTATGCTGAATTTCTGTCATGTGTGTAAAGCCCATATCACTGATGCCTTTCAATGTATTCTCACTTACAAGACCAGCAAGGGAAGTGAAAGAATTGTCTTCAAAGGCACCTGAAGAGAGAGAGGGAGAAAAACATTCACTAACTTCAACTCTGTCCATCCCAAGACTGGCCAGTAAGAAATTCACCTTACAAACAACTTCTTACAATTCCTTCCTACTATAAAATTTTAAGATGCTAAAAACAATACTCTGTATTAATGCATTCCCAGGGAGCCACAGAGACCTGTTAAAAACGAACGATTACACTGCTTTTCACGCCAATTAGCAATACAACTCTATTTAACTGGCCCTTCTTTCCATATTTAAATATGTGCAAGTATATTTCAAAACTGTTTTTCAAAAGTAATTTTAAGACCAAAATATGTACATATAATGCAAACTTCAAAGAACATTAGCTGAATGATAACACTGCAGCTGCCAATATCACGTCACCTGTGTTCAAACACCAGGTTTTTAATGCAAATTTGAGAACCTGCTCTGGAAGAAAGCTTAAGAACTGGGATTTTTGTATACCTATGAAAAAAGAAAACACAATATACCTGTTAGACCCAGAGGTAAACTGGGCACTTCATCCTCCTCTTCTGCTTCTTTTTCTCCAGAATCCTGCCCATCTTCACCTTCTGCCTCCACAGATAAGTCTTCTTCAGCTTTTGCTTTCTTAGTTTCTGTACCTAGGACAGTATTTTACAGAGGACAAACCGTTCTCAGTGAGAGGTATGAGAAATACTTTTCTCATCCGAAAGCTGTGCTGCAGACTGGCCTGCTTTACCCTGTAAATCATTTGTACAGACATCGTGTGGTGGGAGGGGTCAGGAGAAGGGGAGACAAGGTTTCTGTGGAGCTTTCAGACACAGACTGCACAAACGTACCTCCGTCGGGGCCAGCCGCAGCCTTCCTCTTCTTCTTCTTCCTCCTCTTCACCCCAGCGGCCTCAAGGCCCGGCGCTGCCCGCTCACCCTCCTCTGTCTCTCTCTCTGCCTCCGCCTCGGGGGCCGCCGCCTCCTTCACCTCCTCGTCCTCCTCCGGGGGGCCCAGCGAGGCCCGGCCTGGGCACGGAGAGGGAAGATGTAGAACAGCCGTAAGCCGCGGCGCTCAGAGGCTCAGGGACCGCCAGCCCGCCCGCCCCGGCCCCGCCGTACCTTCCTGCTCTGCAGCCCGCAGCTTCAGATTGCGCTGCCGCAGCTTCAAGTTCCTCTTGTGGATCTTCTTGCGGAGCAGCCGCATGGGCAGGTTGCCCGCGGCCACCGACACCGACATCCCGGCTGCGCGCTGCCCGCCTCCCTCGATCACACGTGGGGACGGCGGCCCCAACCCAGCGACGCGCATCCGGGACGCGCCGGAACCTCGCCGTTCGGCTGGCGCCCCCCGGCGGCGCGGGGGAGGCAGTGCAGGGCTCCCGCTAGCCCAGCCCAGCCGTGCTATGGTTGGATTCCTGTACTACATGCCGGCTCCAGGGCATGGCTTCTTAGAGCTTTGCTCCCGGCTGCTCCTCAGCTCAGCGAGAGGCAGAATAGCCTTTCCTCCTCGCGTCCTCTTTCTTGCCTCTTCATCCTCATCCAGAGCAGTTCCTGCAACCTCCTTTAGATCCCTCTTGACCAGCAGGTGGCACAAATAGCACAGGAATTTACAGCAATTTGCTCGGGTTTCTTAAACCAAGAAACGCAGTGTTCTGGAAATCTGAATTTTCTGGAAATCTGAATTGCTACGAATAGGGTAATGCTCAGCCTGCAATTACCTGGGGCAAGGCACATTAAGCTCAGAATTATGGCTCTACTAACTTCAAAGTGTTTATTACAGGTAACTCTTTTTCTTTTTTTTTTTAAGAAAGATACACCAAAAATGAAACAAAATTCATAATTCATTTATAGAGTCATAGAACCATTAAGGTTGGAAAAGACCTGTAAGATCATCTGCCCCCACCCACCCACTAACCACATCCTCCACAGTTCCTGAACACCTCCATGGATGGTGACTCCACCACCTCCCTGGGCAGCCAGTGCCACTGCATCACCAGTTTTTTGCAGAAGAACTTGTTCCCAGTCTCCAAGTGGAATCCTCCCCCCAACACAGCTCAAGGCCAACACCTCTTGCTGTGCCTCTGGTCTTAGTGAAGAGCAAAGGGGGAACAGCAGCCCCTGCAGGATTTTACATTGCCCCCAGAGCTGCTAATGCCCACACCTTCCAACAGCAGTGCTGCTTCTGTGTGTCCCCACGTGGTCCATGCTGGATCATGAAACTCACAGGATAGGAGGAGAAGCTGCAGAGCAGCCAAGGAGCATCAAGATTAACTGCTGGCCCCATCTCCACATGCAGCCTCGTGCCTCAGAATGAAATCCTCCAGCATCTCTGAATACTATCTTTCTTTTCATCATCTGTAATTATTGATGTGCAGCTTTCACACACATTACCCAGATGAGACTTTTTTTTTGCCAGAATTTCAAACTGCTGAAAGTTACATAACATTTTAAAATTTCTTTCATTTATTAATAATATAATGTAGTGGAAATATTAGGTCACTGCCTGAACCAGTTATTGAGCATGTGATGGGAAGAAAGGGCCAACTCAGAGGAGTTCAGGTGTACACAATATACCTGAATGACCAGAAGGGAAGGAGCCAACATCCATCCCTTCCCAGACCTCATTTAAGGGATGGTAGTGGAGGTGAAGGTATTTCCTGGGAGGTCCCTCTATACTTGAGGCCTTCTGAAAGTAAGTAGTGTGCTTACTGCTGTTGTGTCTGTGCAAGTCCTCACTTGCTACAGCCTGAGACCTTGCTGCTCCATTGTCATTACTGTACTTTCCATTGCATTATATATGCATACATTCAAATTAGCAATAGCTACTAGACCTGTACAAGAGAAAGACAGGAGATGCTGCTGTTCTTCAACAATCATAAGAAATTAAGACACAATTCCAAAAAAATATTGTTGTTTATGAAAAGCATATGGAAAGAGGAGGAAGAATTAACACTGAAGATAATTTAATCTCAGCGGGTATTGCTGGAGCAAGAAAAGATGTCCCTATTTGGACATCACTGAAATAAGACTGAACAAATTGGTATTGTAACACCTTTATGCTTTATACTTGAAAGTGGAACCTTGCAGGTGAACAAAGGCTTCACAAGAAACAAAACTACCAATATTTTGTTTTTCAGTTTAAACAAACTGAAACAAGAGATCCCCTTGGCTGATTCTTTCTCTAAGTTATTTTCTGTCCCAGACTCTCATTAAGCAATACTGAAGAGTAACCTGGACTCCAGGACACCGTATAGCAGCACATTTTTGCTGTTTTAGTCCATCTCTCACTTAATTACCTTCAGAACTCTATTTCATAAATGCAAGTAGTTGCTGTGGGGCAGAATGCATTGCACATCACTTGCAGCAGACTTCACAGGCGTTCACTGTGAACATTCTTGGCAGTTTGAAAAGCATGACCTCTAGCTTGGCTGTTGAGCTGCTCTGCTTACAGATGTGACACAAACTGTGAAGCAAAAAAGGTGACCAGGTCCAAACTGGCCACTGGCATATTAAATAACGAGGATATCTGTGTGTAGGCACATCAGTCTCCATTAGATGTGTTTTGAAAAATAAATTGAGCCATCCTCACTCATCAAGAAAGGCTTTTGGTACAAAACTCTAGGGAATGTCATGTCAAGGCTGAATTTTAAGCAGCTTCTTGCTGTAAGTCAGTGTAGTTTAGGTTCTGGAAATATATTTCCATATTTCCTCCCTGTCTACCTTACATCGTGCCTACAGAATATACTTTTAATTAGCTAAATATTTGTTCTTTCTACACTGTGCTGATTTATAGTTACATGGTTAGATTCACTATTTGGATCCTTCTGAAATATTGTCACTGAGCAAATAGAGTGAATTAAAAATCTGGGCAGGAGAGAGCTGACACCAGTACTTATACTGAGGGCAGAGAAAATTACCTTCTTCAAGAACAGGATGATCCACGTGTTCTTATCTCAGCCAGCACTGCCAGGGTCATCACCATTTAGCTTTCATCCACATCACCACACTCTCAGATCTGCCAAGATGTTGGACCTGGAAAACGTGTTCTGTTAAAACCCCATATGAGGAACTCATCTCAGTGTCCCCTCTGGGCACAGGTTGACTTGGCAAGAGTTTGTGAAAGTGCATTAGTGTGGCACAAGGCCCAAACTGACAAATGCTTCTGTGAGGTATGTTAGATCCCTCTGACCAGGATATATGGGATATACACCAATCATCTGTCAACACAATTTTACAAGTTTTCTTTTGTTGGCAGGGAGCAGAAGGAAAACGTTGATGCATTTGCAGAGGAATGATAGTTTTGCATCTGTGTAGGCAGATATCGTGGCATTATGTATGGGATATGGGACTTTGGAAATTAGATTCCATTAGGTGGCTACATATCATACGCTCCAACACAGCATTATCCCCATATCTTGTAAAAGATATTGCTTAGAGTTTACTTCATTAGAGAGTTCAAAACATGTTTTGAGCTCTATCCTTTCTCTTCAAGCAGAAACTGTGGGGAAAAATGACAAAAAAAAAAATCAGAAAGCAATAATATACATTTCTTAGTGACAAGTCCAGACAATACTTGAAATGATTAATTTATCATACTATTTTCTGAAGTTTGGCATTTCCTAGATTTAGCAAGAATTCCCTGTGGTACATAAGTTTCATTTCTGCCCATAGGTTCATTAATAACTGCTTGACTTACCAGGCAGTCCTTACTAACAATAGGATTTTTTTAAATGATTATTGAGTTGCTGTCAGAACATATCAGATTTTCTACACATGATCTTGCAGGCAGAACTGTAGGAGATCATGCTTTGTTTACCTAAGCTTTCTGAAGTTGAAGGATTCCAAATTAGAGACTCTGAATCTCTGAATACAAATGTTTTCAATATCCTAGTGTGTTGTCAATGGCACTATTTTGAAGCCAGACTTAGAATGTTTGTTCTCATTTACTTTTAAGTTACTTATGCTAGTTGAAAGTGCAACATGAAAGTAATCTTTGAGTTCAGCTGCATCATTTCATATAAATCATCATGATGTATGTGAAAAGTATCAATCTCATGCAGAAAATATCACAAAAAACTTGTAATTTTTACTGCTTAAATATGGACAACAGGGTCAGTTTTCAAAAATATCACTGAAAAGAATCTTTTTATTGTCATAGTTGGCTTTGAAAAAAACATTAGCAATGGCACTTGTGAACATCTGCACCATTAAACTAGAAGAGTTAAACTAGAAAATCAGTTCTTCCATGTTCCGCACCCACAAAATTGACAACCTTTCTGAACCATTGTTTCAATTTTAGAGATGATAGTTTCTGCTCTTAGACCAAATTTATCTTTCAGACTAATGAGTTCTGGATAGGCACTGAGTTTAAAATCAGTTTTCATATAGACAGGTATAAGGTTTATTTTCTGCAAATGTGTGTTATGCATGAAAGTCTGTATACATATGCAAGTGTGTCTGCAGAAATTATCACTTTCCCACTTAATCGACACATTTAATTCTAAAACCTGAACTTTGGAAAAGTTACCCACTGGAACTGAGCTAAAGGTAGAGGTATATCAGGGTATATAAAGATACGTTACATAAGAAATAGATGACATGATTAACAGAATGGTAGTGAGAGCTTGAAAATTGCTGGTTAGAAATTTCTAACGCTAACTACATTTCTGTAGGTTATCATTGAATATAACTGAATTTGGAAATTTAACATACACCTCTGAATTTAACACAGATTTAGCAAATCTATGTTCATAAAAAGCAGACCAGGATGTCAAGTAACTTTTTTTTTTTTTTTAGGATTTTAGTTTAGTATTGCTTCCAAATAATGTCTCCCTCAGGGGCCATATATGGAGTTATTGTCTCAGTTTTAACTGACATCATCAGCACTGTGTAGCATGAAGCATACAATTGGGCCATACCAAATTTGAGGTTTTTTTGTTTGTTTTTCAGAAATTACTCATTTACCCTATATTTTAAAACCTGAGCAATGCTGTGCATCAATTGTAAATGCAGACTGGCATGGCCCTGAATATGTTCCAAACCAGAACAAACCTACAGTGAGAGTGAAAAGGGGAGATGGATTGGATTGTATTTCATGAAATATCTTGTAGATTTTTGCATAGCTTTCATGGATTTTCTCAAACTTAAAACTACTCTAGCACTTCTGACAAGCAGTTTGGTCTTTCAGAACATTGGGCCAGAATGATTGGTATTATTAGTTGATTAAAAGGAAGACAGTATTTTGGAGTCAGAGTAACATGGATCACACAAAGATGAGGAACAGAAATAATTCTCCTAATGAATTATCTTTTTTCATACACAGAGGATCAAGGTCTAATCTTGCAGATTTTAGCATAGCTGTGCATGGAATCCTGCTGTCTCACATGATCTGGATGGCAGGAGTCCAGGTTACTGCACTGATCTGGCCCTTCCTGAAGTGATGTACCCAACTGATAACAGCAACCGGCTGTCTGCCTACCTATTTTAACCTTAACTACTAGAAATCCACAGAATCAGTTCCCTCTTGTCTCCTCTTCCAGAAAAGAAAGCCAGACTCAGACATTAGCAATTTACAAGTAATACCTATGTGCATTTGTTATTCTCTGTGCATCATCAACACCACTGTAGTTAATTGTGTGATACAACCTTAATTAAAAAGAAGCAAGCTAGCCTATATGATGTTTCTGGGTAAAAAAACACCTACAGTGCTTGGGAAACATTACCTTGTATTAAAAGATGTTAAGTCCTTCCCTGCACTAAACAGGATTTACGCATTAGCTTCCCCCAGAATCTAAAGCTAATGTCAATATTTTGGACCTCCTCTCTAAAATACACCATGATTAAAGCCCAATTTCTTTAAAACATCACTTAAAACTCTGAAATGAAGAAAGTGAAGAAAGCAGTTGGAATCATAAAAATCTCACAGCAGCTAGTGTGGAAAGCACCTCTAGAAACTACCTTTTCCAAGCCACCTACAATAACAGTCTCAAAGACCAGTGTGATGGAATGACAGTACACAAGTATACTCATGAAGAGACTGGCTCAAAAGAAAAATATTATAAGGGAAAGGGAAATAAAAGGACTGCTCACCAATCTCTGAAGATCTAGGCTTACAGGGAAAACTCCACAAAAGAGGGATGCCCAGAAAAAGAGCCTTACTCTGTGGCAGTCATCCCTTAAATGAGGTGTAAGAGAGGTGGAGCCAGGCTGCACCCCTTCCCATCACGCTCATGGATTGCTTTCACCTGTGTTCCCAGAGCTGATGGGGTCCTTTCCCCAGGTGCTCAATCAGTGGTTCAGGTTGTGACTGAGCAGTTACCATACACGTGCTCAAGTAGGATCAGCTAAAGCAGATTGCTTGGCTCTCTGTCCTGTCACATTTCTAGTATTTCTATGGATGGAGATGTACAACCTACTGGGACAACGTGTTTCAATGCTTAACCACTCCTGCAGTGAAAAAGCTTTTTTTCTGCATTTGTATGGAATTTGCTGCTTTTCACCTGTTCATTGCCTCTCGTTCTGTCATTAAGAAGCACTGAAAAGAGTCTGACTTCATCATCTTTACTTTTTCTCATTGAGTATTTGTACACACATTAAATGTTGATAAGTAGCCTCTTCTGCACATGGCAGTGCAAAAACATCTTTTCATTTTTTGTAGGTAGCCACTTTTAATAACATAGCATTTAAGCTCATTATATTATTTTTTATATATGAAGATCTATTATTTTTTAGCACTTTCTGCTTAAAAAAACCCAACTCATTGAAGGTTCTTTTCGAAATACTGTGAAGATTACAAGCAGGATGAGAGGATTTATTAACACACCTATCAAAATGCAGTTGTAGCCACTGGTTTATAGCTTACAGCATGACAGATTTATATCTTTAAAACAATTCTTTCCTCAGGTATAAAGTACTTTCCTTTTACGCTGCCCTTGTTAATGTGAAGAGTCTTAGTAAAATTTTCACTTTCAGAAGGGGTAGTGTGCCTTTTACATTACTTTATCTTTTACATATATACACAAGGTCAGCCAAGATTTTTTGAAGATAAAATCTGAGTTGGTGAGATGGATCTCAGGACATTCTGGATGCTTGGCAGCTGGATGGAGACAGAGACGTGGCATTTTGTGGTGCAAAGAACACAAGATGTCACCCTACCTGTGAGATTTCTCCAACAGAAAAAAACATCATTAGCTGAAGAGGAAAGGGAATGAAGGACTGAGGTTATTTTTTAGAAGATGATCATCGCATTCCTTCACTTACAGGAAATCTAGATTAGTAAAATCGTTCAACTAATACGGAACACTATTTCAGAACAACCAAAAAACCACAAATCATTGAATGTTTCTAATTCAATGCTATTATGCTGTTTATGAGTTCCTTGGTTAGTTTTTACTTTAGGGTATGTTCCTGAAGTTTGAAATAAAAATTTCACTTCACTGAACAGTAACCCTATGCTTATTGTACCTATTAGTGAAAAAGATGATGGAAAAGAGTACAATATTTTTGAGTTATCTTCAGTCTGATTAATGTTCATACATGTACCTCGTATTCTATCAGGTTACTGAAAGAGGTGGTGGTGTGTCCTTAGAATCTGTGTAAGCTGCTTTTACTTTTAAGATCATTTCAGATTTCCATTTGTATGGAACTGTTTAGTTACTGCCTGAACCACACATTGAGCACCTGGGGAAAGGACTGGGTCAGCCCTGGGAGCACAGCTGCAGGCAATTCACCTGTACTACCAGAAAGAGAAGCTGCACCTCTCTTAGACCTCATTTAAGGGCTGACTGCCAGTGGGGATGGATTTCTTTCTGAAGATCCTTCTTTGATGAATCTTTCTTATCCAAACCTAGCATCTTCTGAATAGGTGAGCAGTCCTCTTCCCTTTCTTTATAGTGTAATTCTATTGTTCTAGTCCTTCCATTGTCACACCTTTGCTGTGATGCTTTTCCTACTGTATTGACCTATGACTATATCATTAAAAGGAGTTTTTATGTTTCTGAGATTGAGAGTAGTTGGTTTGTGGCCTATTATATAATGCTGTACCTTTTGATTGAAACTCTGTAGGAGCTAGAACAGTCAGCACTGCACAAAAGATTGCTTGTATTATAAAGGTAAGAGTTTTTATGGTCCAAACCTTCATAAACTGTGTCAAGCTGTGATAGCTATAATTATTGCATGCGTTGATTTAACCCATACAATGTAGTCATAATACATTAGCCTTTCTAACTTTCCCTTGCCTGTCTTTTATTATCAGCGACATTTTCCTTTAAAGGTTCAGAGCAAGTGTGACTTTATGATCAGTTCTGAGCTTTAAGTTAACCCATTTTGTTATTTGTTCCTATGGAATACTGTTATTGAAGAAACCAGAAGATGGCAGTCTTTCTTAATACACTGGAGCTAAATTCTACTAGCAATTACAGTTTCTATTCTTGTACCTCAAAACAGGCAAAAATGTGAGAAGAAATGAAGAGACTCATCTCTTGTTTTGCCAGTATAAGTTATTGTGCACACGATTCCTACAGTGTCTTCTAGTGCCTGTTCTTTTGGGCATCAGATCTTGATAGTCAAATAAATCCTGGTGTGTTTATGATTTTTCCAGTCTGCAGATTAACTTCTGCGCAGCCTGAAGGTGTTACCTTCCTGTTTGAGCGTACTTGAACTGCAGTTATTTCTTCTCTCCTAACACTGTTAGGTCAAGTCAGTTCCCTTGGTAAAACTCTGTTATTTCAGAGTTAATTGTCTTAGGGGGAAAAAAAAAACCACCATAATTCATGTGTTATTGATCTCTATATTTATTCTCCTGGACACTGCTGTAACAGATCTCATTGTCATCTTTGTGTTAGAGATACTAAAACTGTTTTCTGCAGCTCTGATTGATGCATGTTACTCAGTATCTTGCCATTGCTTTCTTGGGCTTTCATGCCTGTGATGTACTGGAGAGAACTGATTCTTACAGTGGAACACTCATTTTTCCCTGGTATGCATGTAAGGTAGGTGTTTATGTAAAGACAAACATTTTGGATTTGTGTGCCAGGATTTTGCCAGAAAGAATCGCTTATTAGGTAATGAGTGTTTGGGTGTAGGCTTGGAATATGGATTCACAGAAAATGCAAAACTCCTTTGTGTGGCAAAACTTGATATGCTGACACTGCATAAATTAACTGAAGCTTGTTATTATGTTTGCTTCACAAAGCCTCAGCAGCAATTCCCAGATAACTACAATGGGATTTACCTCAGCTGCATATAAGAAGTTTCAGTTGCTATGCAGCAGTGTAGTACAAGCCTCTAAAAGCTTTGTTAAACATTGAGAGTGCGCTTCATCATCTGCCAGAAATGTTTAAAGGCATAACATCTCACTAATAATTATTAAATCATTGAGTTGTGCAAAGAGAGGTGTTTCCATCTTTAATTAATGACTGTAAAACACAGGTAATTTGCCAAGCATCCACTAGCATATTGGATAACTGGAATTCTGCTGAGGGGAATTATCAGAGCTTCATACGATGTGTCTCAGAAAAGGAAGGAAAAACAGTGTTCAGGGAGTAAAACAGTATTCAGCCATTGCAAACAATGAAGTTTTGACCCTTCTCCACACTCTGACATCTTACTACATTCTGAAGTAGGGAGGCATAAAGAAAAAACATGAAGTTTGCATAATTTTAATTATGTTATTAGTTTCCTGAGAGAGACTCAATCATAATTCTGTTCTCTCTTTAAGGAGAGCTTGATGCATCACAAACAAGTGTCTTTCTATTCTCCATTTATTTAAAATGAAACTTGTTTTGCTAGCAGCTCAGATTTAGGACATGCAGAGATTCTGTCCTCCACAATGGATGTAACACTTAGTAGTTTTCTGCATTGATGATCTAGCCATTCTCTCATGTTGTCTGATGTTGTAGAGCTATACGTCAGTCACAATCAGACTTATACTAGTGTCTGATTGATCTAAACATTTAGCTGCAAAAATGAAGGCATTTTAGCTGTGCCATAGAATTAGTCACTTTTTTCCTGACAGAAGAAAAACACTGAATAAGTCTGGCCCTGTAGGTGATGCTGAGAGACACTGGGAGCTACAATAAATTGAATTTGCCAGCCTGGTAGTAATGTTGAATATTTACTACTTCCAGGAAAATTAAACCTTGAAAAAAAAAATGATAAGCAAATGAATTGTAAATGATTATTCATTACACAATTTCTAATGTTTTATCTTTCCATTAAACAGTGCAGTTTTAACAGGGACTTATAACGTGGCAGCTGTGGATCTGTGAAGCTCTCCTTTATTTTTTTTTTTTTTTCAATTGGCTTTAAGATAGATACTTTTATTCTTATTGCATTTTCAAAACCATTTGTACATATGATTTTAAGTGCAGGTGATTTGAAAGCTCCCAGGATCCCTACCTGACTTCTGTGATTTTGCCTTTTTATATTGCAGTGAAGGTACTGAAGGAACAACTGATCCTACTTCTAAAATGTATCTCTACCTTGTTATATTGCATTTAAGGGGAGAAATGTTTACTATTTCAGCATGTAATTTTTTACTATTCTCTGACAGCTTTAGTGGTATAAGCAGTATTCAGGGTACATTTGAGAGAGACACTGATTAATGGTTCTAGGGTTCTAATAAGAAACAGGCTGCTGAAGTGCAATGAAGAACTGTGTGAAGATTAAGGTTTTCCTACACTGGTAGAATGGAAATAGACTTTTGGATGAAATATTTCAGGAAACAAATCCAATAGGAAGCCAATTGGGGAGGGGGAAAAAAAGTCCAATTACATGCATAAGTGCAGATATCTGGCTTTTCCTCTCAAAGATTTTCCCCTGAAGTTATCAAGTAAGAGTAATTACTATTAGAGAAATTTTCTGATCACTTGTACTCCTGAAAATCCACGTAGAATATTTTCAGATCATGGATTATATGTGCATATCTCATTATTGCTAATGAGAATTTCCAAGTAGCATATAATTTTACTGCGCTATTTAGTCTGACTTGTATTACACCTGTCAGTCTGTGTTTCTACTGCTATTTCATTAGTATGAAATAGCATTAGTATTAGTATTAGTATTAATATTTAAAGGTCAAACTTAGCTTGCAGTGATATTAGAATATGTTAAGTTTCATCTGACTTGAGTAGAACTTTTCTGGGACGGTATTCACTATAACAGCAAAAAGGCTATCGCTAACACTTCCTTGCCTTTTTAAATGTATCTTTATTTTCCTCACTCCATTAGAAACTGATCAGTTTCCATTTGAATGAGGGAGGAGTGAAATTTGTGAAGGAACAAAATGTAATTCATACTGCTGTCAAGGGGAGTGAGCTGTCACTCTTCTTTGTGTCTGAAGAACCTTCCACTGAATTAGTCATATCTGAAGGTCTTTGCTGATTTTCCAGATGAAAGCCCTACCACTCAGCGTTGGGATCTTGAAACAAACATGGAATGTGTTTCAACAATAAGGCGCTTTAGAATAAAAAAATGCTACACTTGGAAGGCAATGGTGTGATAAAGTGTCTCAATTTAAATAGCTTTTGTAATGATTCAGATTTTGTGCCCACAAATATTTAGGTATGTGAGCAGCTGAACTGCATATTGTACTGCATGCATGTGGAGGTTTTATGTCATAACTTTGTCTACATGGTGTGGATGCGGTAGTAATTAAGACTGAGCAAAATTCTTTATGAATGTTGGTTATATGCACTTCTCTGATGCTGGCAAACAATGCAGCTTGACATGTTTTATCATTTAAAAAAAACCTATGAAGCAACAGGGAAACTATTTAGTGAAAGTTTCAAATCTCTGCCATAGATGTGAGTGGAAGTGTGGTTTTTTGTGTTGGTTTTTTTTTTTTTTTTTTTTTTTTTTTTTTTTTTTTACTTCAGTGGAATAAGATCTGTCTCTAAGAGCCTAAATGATCCTGTCCTAAATTTGTACTTGCAGTTTTTTGCCACTGTTGAGTTACAGGCTGTGTGTTTTTTATTAACTATGGGTCTACGCATTGTACCATTTGAGAGTATGTGGATCACTCATACACATCTGAAGAGACCATTAGTTGATGACTGCTGGGCTTTCCAGCAGGTAAATTCCAGGTGGTAAATTAAGACAGTCTGTCTTTTTCACCTGGTGTTTTACTTAAATCAATCATCTTAGAACAAAACTTTCCATATCTGTACCAAGCATCAGTAACTCTAGCTTTTGCAGTCAGATACAAAATCAGAAAAACTTAAATATATACACTTTGCATACAAGGAATTATCATCAGCCACGTAGCTGTTAATCTGAAATACAACATCATTCTTTTGAATGCTACCTCTTTGTAAAAGTCTGATATGAAGTTATTACTAATTTTGTGACTCTCATCAGCTAAATGCCATTAGTCAGTGTGATTTTACCACTTCAGCTGGTGCTGAATAATCAGATGCTCTTGCTGTATCTCTAGATGCCTCTTTTAACACACAACATCAGTGAGTAAATAGTGTTAGGTACATAGAAGGAAATGTTTTAACTGGGATTGTGATGTAAGTAGCTGATATTTTATCACTTTCGGCTTATCAAAGAAAAAAAATTTCTAATAAGCTTAGTTAAGTTTTCCTGAATTCAGTAGATGAAGTGTTCCTCTGGGGTGTGTATATGGGTGTATGGGAACTGCTGAATCACGGCCTGAACCTCTGACTGACCACCTGTGGCGAGCAATGAGTCAGTTCTAGGAGCACCGCTGAAGGCAATTCTCTTGTGCTACTGGAAGGGGTGGAGCTTGGCTCCACCTCTCCTGGACACCATTTAAGAGCTGACTGCTAGTGGGGATGGTTCCTCTTGGAGTCTTCTCAGTGAGCCTAGGACAAGGGTAAGCTTTCCATTCATTCTTCTTCA